GCTGGACACTGTTGAGGGATAGATAGGGGTCGAAAGAGAATTGCGAAGATCTAGAGCGGAGGATTATCGATGTCCAGAGTCCACGCTCACTTCAAGTTCAACTTCATGCTTCGTGGGTTTCAAACGTTGAATGGCGCTACCTGGAGTCTCGTCTCCAATAATAATGCATATGCCGTTGCGCGATAAGTATCGTTCCGATGCTCGCCACCGAGCCTCCTAATTACTCGGGCCCTTACCCTGCGGACCCGCTCATCTCCCGACTTGTAGTTCAGCTGTAGACACACAACTTGCTGAAGCTGTCTTGCTCAGTGGAAGCTGGGGAGGAGGGAAGAGAAGAGCGGCCGTCGCACGGTTTTTCGGTTGACGTCGGCCTTCGGGCGTCGGCCATCGATGATCGGAATGATACCCCGCATTTTCGCCCAGCTGACACAACGTATGAAATGTAAAAACTATAAAAATGACTAGGACTCACGGCTATTCTTCCTCCTCCCACTGTCATGTCCGCTCTCAACACGGAAAAGGAAAAGGATTCGTACGAGGCGGACGAGATCCGAGACTCCAGTCCGACCAAGGAAACAGACGTCGAAATTACTGACATAGCGCGCAAGAAGATCCTGCGCAAGCTCGATGTCCACTTGCTCCCCTTTGTCTCCCTCCTATATTTGCTGTCTTTCTTGTGCGTCGGCTACGCCTACTCGCCTAGTTCCACTTTAACCGCCCGTGAGCAGAGACAGGGCAAACATCGTGCGCCCATTCTTGCTCCTCACGCGGTGGTTAATATTGACACGGGTACGCATCTAGGGAAATGCAAAGGTTGCTGGTTCGTGCCAAATTTCGTTCTGGTCGCTTCCTTCTCATCCGCGATTCAGGCATGGCGAAGGATGCCGACTTGACTGGTTTCCGTTACAATACTGTATGTAGTATCGCATTTATGGCTGATGGAACGCGTTAACGAAAGGATGGCAGATCGCAGCCGTCTTCTTTGTAGGTTCGGTGGTTTCCCATCGTTCTGGCTCCTCATCCTGGACAGATTCCCTACGCTTTGGCGGAAGTTCCTTCGTACGCAGGCCACTCAGTCTATTATGCCGAAATTGACGGAAACACAGAAATATCGCCCTGAAGCTTGTCCGCCCATCACGCTGGAGTATGTCCTTATTCTCCCTCAGGCTAACATACTGACTTCGATCCTCAAGTTCCGGTTCGTGCATCAGATCGACCAAATTCACTTGCTCACCCCGAACCAGTCCATTATGCTAGCCTGGGGTTCGCGCCTAGCATTACTTTTTGTCGCGCTGCTCACCTCAACTAATAGGGCTTGTCATGACTTTAATGTGTCTATGCAAGACCTATCATGACCTGATAATGTTGGGCTTCTCAACGTATTCTGACCGGCGTGTGCTGATCGAATCTCAGAGCCCGGATATTCCTTGGCCTAGCGGAGGCAGTATGTCTCAAACTCTCACGGGTTTCCCCATAATTAATTTTTCTTTTTTTTTTGTAGGGTCTCTTCCCAGGAGTAAGATTCGCTTAGGCCTTCATTCAGTCTGTCTGAACCTAATAACAGATCACTTTCTATCTGTCTGTGTGGTACCGGAGGCGCGATGTGGCCTCTCGCGTGGCCATCTTCTTCTCTGCTGCGACTGTCGCCGGTGAGTTCCAGATCATGGCAGAATATTCGCGGAACTGATGTCCATGAAGGTGCATTCGGTGGTCTCCTCGCGTCGGTGTCCCAGCGGACCAATTCCTTTTTTTTTTGAGAGACTAACGTTTGAATAGTTTCGCGATCGAAAAAATGGAGGGCATCGGTGGGTTGCATGGGTGGCAGTGGATCGTGAGTCTCATCGCAGATTTCGAATTCGGTGCGGCTGACAACGAGACATGCAGTTCTGCCTCGAAGGCCTCGGTAAATACCCTTCGTCTTCACGTATGCTGATTATACTGACCCGCCCCGCCTCCAGCAACGATGCTGGGTATATGAACTCTCAGCTACCTACAACTCTCGGAGACTGACGCTGAAGCCACAACAGTGGCATTTGCATCCTATTTCTACATGCACGACGTACGTCTGCTTCCCTTTTCCCAGTGTGCTTTTTTTTTTTTTTGCATCTGACGTGATATCTGAATGACAGTATCCGGAAACGGCGGGCTTCCTTTCGGAAACGGAGCGCGCGCAAATCGTGTACATGCTGAAGGAAGATGCCCAGGACCTCGCGACGCACTATGACCGGAAGTTTGTCTGGCAGGCGATGAGGGACTGCAAGACCTATGTGCAAATCGGGATATATATTGGGTATGTATGTTCGCTCTTGACCCACGATTCATGGCTGATCCTTTTTGTAGACTGCTGATCCCAGTCTATGCTATCGCTCTATTCACACCGTCAATAGTCAACGCTCTGGGCTTCACTGCGGCCCAAGCGCAGCTTCTTACTATTCCGCCCTTCGTTTGCGGCTGTGTTGCAACAATTGGAGTTGGTTACCTGTCAGACAGGTATAATATGCGCGGCCCATTCATCATCGGACCGTGCCTAGTCGCCCTTGTAGGGTACGCGTCTTCTCTTTTCGCTGTCGTCGTGCTCTCTCATTGTCATTGCCCGCAGGTACATCGTGTTGTACACACAACGGGCCCCTGGTGCTGGATATGCCGGCGCCGTCTTGGCAGCCGTCGGCGTCTATCCTACCATCGCCGTGGATCTCGCTTGGGCTGGTAGCATCGCTGGTGGGGATGTCCGGAAAGGTCTGCATCTGACGCTTTTTCGTCTGTCATTCCTTCAACTCGAAACTCCTAGGCGTCGTCATTGCCATGGTCATCGGTCTCGGGAACCTCGGCGGGTGAGTTGGCACATTCCTTCCGCAGGCGCCCCCACTGATGCGTTGCCCGCCAGTATATGCTCCTCCTTCATCTACATCACGCCGCCGTACTACCACATCGGGCACGGCACTATCATGGGCTGGCTGGGTCTCTCGTGTGTCTAACCTCCCTTTTTGCGGCAGCCGAGCTGATATAAAATTTGTCTAATTACAGCATCATCCTGAGCTGCTTTGCGATGTGGGACTACAACCGCATCAACAAGCAGCGGGACGCGTACTGCGCACGTGAGGGCATCGACGCGAGCCGGCGCGCGGAATTCCGAGACATGGGGAGCGAGAGCCCGCTGTTTCGGTATGTCGTGTCCACTAATGTCACGTCCGTGCTGCTGAACACTTTGGACCCAGCTACACGATATAAGCACACATTTAACAGCATCTATATTACTAGCAAGGGTATTGCGTGTTTTCAGTTCACGACTCGGAGGTAGCGGATGGAGGCAATCAAATTATGATTTTATTCGGCCGTGATCTACAGTGAAGAACCAGCGTATGTCGATTCTCCGTCCCGTAAATCGGATTTAACAAGGGCAGCTCCCGTTCTGCTCATGGGTCAGCCGGGGCCTACATGCGTTGCATTTGCACGAGCACTCACTGCACAGCACGCGGGGCCGGCGCTGCAGCCGTCTTCGTTGCAGACCTGATAGAGAGAGAATATTAAGAGCCGCGGTTGAGGACCATTTAATGCGACTTACGCAGCTGTCGGGGAAGCAGTTCTGCGGGGTGCGGGCATGGAAGCTCGCTGCGGCGGCGTAGGTCGCAAAGAGGGCAACAACAGCGGCAATGACGGTAAAACGCATGTTGAAAAAATGTGTAGTAGTGTTGAAGGTAAAGTGACTGTTCAGTGAAAGAGTGAAAAGTGAACTTGATGCTGAAATTTCTCGAACGGCGAGCGTTTTATACGTTTTATACTGGCCGTTGCCATGCGGGATGGTGTGTTGGTGCGGTAGGAAGAGGGGTTGTTTCCTGCAGCCTTCTTGATCACCGGATTTGGGTTGAGATCATCATGCGCGTCGGGACAACTTGTGGATGTGATATATATTAGCGGGCCGCTTGTAAATACGCGGCGAACGTATTGGTGATTTCTAAAATAATCAGCTCGGAAGGGGGAGGGATGGGCCCGGGTAGCCACAGGTTGGTTAGAAAAATAAATACTTCCCTCGTTCAAAAAGCTGTAACTGACTCTACGTGGTCCCTAATAGCGCATATAAAGGTAAGCACGGTCGACCGAGGACCTGCAGATTATGCATGCTGCATCGTGCGGCAGTGGGAAAATGTACAGCATGAAACGATAGAAATGAATGCGTGGTTGATTCGCGATTTCGAGGAAGAGATGTAGCGGCCTCGAAGTTTTATAATTAGAGCGGGCGTCAATCTGCATTGTTGGAACTTGGCCCTGTGACTCTGTGAGAGCGAAGTGGAGTCGATTCGATTTCAACCCTCCTCGGCATGCCAGCAGTGCAATAAATCAAGAGGCTACCGTCGATAGGCTAGCCGTGTCCCAAGGTTCTTAATGGTTCATGTCTGCCAATGAAAGAGATGATCGCCGGTACATTGCTTGATCCATATTTTGTTGAACGCGGTATTGAAGAGCGGGTTGAATGATATCGGACGCGGGAGGTTTTATACAAGTGTGAACTATCTTCGCAAGAGTACTAGCGGGAGGATTTGATGTATGTATAGAGACGAAGTCACAAATGGAGTGATCCCCCCTAAACGGCCGCAAGGACGTAAATCGTCAGCGCCTCAGCAGCGTTGTAACAATAACTCGCTGCGGGACCGACCGGAGACAGGTGCTGCAGTTTAGCGGCCTAGCGGATAAGACAACTCTCGAACAAGTCTCAACTAGCCAAGTTCCGCAGAGCTTTTCAAAACCATTCAAGCTCGAGCAGGCAGACTTCTAGTTTGGACTTCGAGTAGACAGTCAACGGCAGAAGTTGCTGGGGAGAGGAGATGGCAGATATGAAAAAGTGATACGAGCCAGGTTCGAACTGAGGACCAATTGTACGCATTATTACCAAATGCTGATCGCGCAAGGGGAGTTAAACAGGTTCATGCGTTGACATCGGGAGATGAATTAGTGAAGGCTGGACAAAACGTTCAGACAAAAGGACAAAACGTCCAGACAAAAAGTGATCCGACCCAGGTTCGAACTGAGGACCGCCTGTGCACCAATTACGTAACCGTAGAATTGTTAGACAGAAGTGATAACCAACTACACCATCGGACCGTTGAAGACTCTTTTGACCTTGTACAATATTACCAGCGGCATACGATGGAACACCAGCGGTATACGTGCTTTTCCTTTTCAATCAAGCAACAAAAGCACATGAGCATAACTAACATAGAAGAAACTAACGTAGACCGGCATCGAGTCTACGCATGAACACCATAATGCCATGCACACATCCGATAACCAACTACACCATCGGACGTCCCCTGGTTGTTCTATGCTATTAAATTGAACTTGAAGCGCAGTGACGCTGCGTATAGAAACATGTTCCCACGGTTGAACTTCGCAAAAACAAATAGTTTCCACACAACGCCGTTTCAATAAGGTACTGGGATGCATGAACCTCAATTCCAATATTCGTTCACCAAATCTGCGGCCCTCTCCGCAATGAAGTATGTTGCAGCTTGAGTATGAGCCGAGGGAATGAAAGGCTGCCTCAAACGGTGAGCGGTGATGCACAAATAACCAGAAAGCAACGCACCACGACCGACAGGTCGACGACTCGGAGCCCTGCCAGTCCCTTCACACGTAAATCCGGATCGACGACACCGTACGACGCGCCTTTCGCCGACATGCTGGCGGTCCCAGCGGGGTGAAAGACCGTGGCGGCGCTGTTGCGGATATATTCGTCGAGCTCCGAATCGGTTGTATCGCTGTTCACGTCTATTGGGGAGAGGATATAGTCTGCCCATGCAGGGGCAGCCGCAAAACGCATTGCACTCCTAATGCTCTCCCGCAGAATAAACAAATCCAGCTCCGAACCTAGGAGATTAGGGTTGATGAGGGGGTCCGCTAGTGGGTCATTGCTGTTCAGTGTTACAGCGCCGCCTGTTCCAAATATGTGTTTAATTAATGCGGTGGCAATTTAACACACGTACGAGAAACTGGAGCCACTAGCGCAGCCGTAATACTGAAAAAATTACCCGTTGCTGGGGTCGGGCCGGGGAAACCATTCGCGGTAACGAGCTCAAAATGAGCTGTATTTGGTCCCGCAGCAGGATCTGAAAAATGTTCAAAGATAGAGGAGTTGTCAGGAATTCGAAGCCAAGCCATGTGGCTCGCGGCAGCGTTGACGAGAGGACCGGTCCGTGTAGTATTCCATTCGTCAAATTCTTCTTCCGAGAGTGTCGCATTGCGAATTGCAGTTTCCCATGTATCGGTTGAGTTGACGAGCCAAGCCAGCTCGACCTTGATCGAACGAGGAATGAGTTAGGAACGATAAAACATGGTCTATCAAGAACTTACCAGAGTATGATCAGTGAGATTTTGACCGACTGAAGGAAGGTGGTGGAGCGGTTTAATACCTAGGGCCGACAAGGTCGAGGAATTGCCGATGCCGGAGTGTAATAGAATGTTCGGGGTTCCTATACTCCCAGCGGAAAGGATTAACTCTTTCTTAGCGCACAACGTGAATCGTTCCCCTGTGGTACGATTAGCTGGCGGTCCAAGGTTCGAATATACACGGCACCATTAATATCTTGAACGAATTCGACGGTTTGAAATGCGTTCGAGCCACTTGGAAGGATACGAGTCACGCGTGCATGCAACAAAACTTGTAAGTTTGGGCGATTGGAAATGAATTCCGGAGCAAGATAAGATGTAGCCGAGCTGCTTCTCGACCCGTTTTTTATCGTTGCCTGTACCCAGCCTGGTGTAATTAAGTAATCAGCACTCGACACGGTCTGCCTGCATTTCTGCGTACCAACGCCAAGCGGATTTCCCGAATTCATATCAAGATTGAACGGGAATTCACTGAGTTCGCTGGTGGTTTCGATGACTCGGCCGCTTATTGGACTCGGAAATCCTGCAAGGGATACGGTATTAATTCCTTCGAAGCCGTGAACGGCAGGATTGAATTGGCCCGTCGTATTGTGCTTATCAGCGGGCGGGCTGAACCGTTCGCTCTATTTCTTGGTCAGTATTCTAAAACAGGGACAGTATCTACTCGAGCTCACCTTGCGCATATATGGTATCAAGCTGTCCCAAGACCAGCCGTCGTCTCCCGTAACTTGTGCGAACCTGTCGAAATCGTCCTTTGATCCACGCGTGTACACCATATCATCTGAACATTGAGTTAGTTTTGTCTTGACCATCCAAGTCCAGGATGAATTTTTGAGACTCACTGACGGAGCTGCTTCCACCCAAAACAAAACCTCGAGGATATGACAAGACTCGACCGTTCAGATTAACTTGAGGCGTAGTTGTGTAGTTCCAATCTTGGGGTGTATTGGGGACTGAACGCAGGGCAAACCACGGAACAATTATGTTCAAAACGTCTTCATTTCTGGACTGCGAGTGAGTTTCGGGTCCTAAATATGTTGAAACACAAAACGTACGAGCCACCTGCTTCGAGGACCAGCACCGAATAGTCGGGATTTTCTGAGAGGCGGTTAGCCATGACATTGCCGGCCGTTCCACCTTCAAGTGCAACCGTGTTTCAGCAACCTTATTATCCTGAAAGCAGGAATTATTCTACATACCTCCAACAATGATAAAATCGAACTCGAGGTTCAACTTTATCAAATCTGCAACGTTTTCGATAATGGCAGCATAGGAGAAAGTGATTCCAAGCGTAAGTGCGGTCAGTAATAGACGGATATGAGGCATGAATGGTCGATGAGTATTATTCGGCCAGGGCCCCTCGAGTTTTAAAGGCAGTCGTCAATCACAGTGCCGGCTGATGATAAAGACTCCGGCGGCACCGACTTACTGTTAACACGGTTGAAAAATTGTGTGGTCGGTGTTCCGAGGTCGCTTTCACCGCGCGCTACCGCGCGCCGCGCCAAGTCCGGTCCCAAAGCGGGCCTCACGAGAGTTGCGTGGTCGGTACTGCTTTGATGGTGAGGGTCATTATTGTGTTGCATCCGCGGGTCAGCACGCTTCAAACTTGAACATGCCCACGCTGATCACTTTTTCATTCCCTTGGTTCAGCATCTGTAAGTTATGGTGATTGAGTACCTCGGAGTCCCGCTACCTTTGGTCAGGGCTGTAGAGCGGCAAATTTTCAGACAATCGTATTTTCGTCATCATTTTTAATTCCCCGCTTTATCGGAGGTCAAGACAAAAAGGCACAAAGAGCTTTCTCAGCTATGAGCCCAGCCTGACAGAGAGAAACATTGCCCACGAGTCTGAAGCCCGCCATCGCCAACATAACTAGTCATTAATATGGTGTACTGAAAATGGGAGGGATTGGAGTAGAAACTTGCCTACTTTCAGTGAAATGTCAAAGGGTCGCCCAATCCTCCCATTAGTCTTCCCACTCTTAAAACCCCCCCGGAAGTAATCCCCGCGCCTGTAGAACACTCTCTTTGAATTAAAGAAACGAGTTTTAGCGTGTTTGTCAGCGCTCTGCTCCGTTAAGTCCGGCTTGGAAAACCATGTCGTATTCTAACGAGGCAGTGTCTGCAGCCGGTTCACCCCCTGGTTGAATTTTAGCGTCTCTGAATCTGTTACTTCGTTGCTGATGAGAGGTGTGTCAAACAAATCGGTGTAAGCAAAAATGGCGTGCGCCACGGGATTTCGGGTTATTGCGTGGACATGGTAGTCGGGGTGCTCGAGTAGCTCCTGGAGTACAGAGCCTCCCTATAAAATTCTGTGAGTACGCGAAGCGAAAGGCCACCAGATAGACCTGGGTTCCTGTAGCACCAATTACAACCACAATTTTTTTTTGGGTTCGCCATGCGAATGTAGGCGGTGCTGGTGCTACGCCCAATTTTATACCGCAAGATGTCGGGTGAAATAGGACTCTTTGAAGACGTAAGAATCCATCGCGGTCGGACTGCGGTCATTCACAGAGCCTCAATGATTCTACATCCGAAGGAGACGGCGTCGGCATAGCGTCGACGAGTTGCGATTTGATTTGTAGACGGGCTTGGCGGGCAGTCCCGTCCGCATCGCAGCATATGTTCAAGATTGAATCTGATGGATGTCGGCGAGCGGCGGACTGACTCCTGAGAGCCCATCCAGTCCACCGTTCAGCACGGAAGCCGGCCATGCTGCGGTGAATGAATGGCTTGGAACAGTGCTCAGCAACTGCGGGGCCGCGGTATTAGCTTTGCAGTTGGCGACGGCAGAGCGGATATGGCCAAAGGTAGAAAGCCACAGCCATCAACGTCATCAAACACATCTGCTATTCGACGAAAAAGGAAGGCGACCCGTCGAACCGAACCAACCACAGCAACCGACTGCCTCGCTCCAAATTCAAGTCGACGCCTATAAAAGCAGACTACAACGATGCTCACACATTCACACAACAAGCCCCAATGGCCCCATTAAACGTCCTCGCCTTCGGTGCTTCTCGCAACATCGGATACTTCGCTGCCGTTCGCCTTCTCGGCCAAGGCGCAACAGTCACCTTTCTCTTGAGGTCACCCGCTGTTTTCGATGAGGATACCCTCATCCAAGGATACATAAAGTCGGGACATGCGCGCCTCGTGAAAGGGGACGCCACAAATGAGGCCGATGCTCGACGCGCATGGAACGAAGCGGGAGTGGTAGACGCTGTCATATTTTCCATCGGTAAGTAGTATTGCTCCACTACAATTGCTGCAGTGCTGACCTGGCGCGTAGGCATGACCCCCTCTTTCCACATCTTCAAGGGCCTAGTGTTTCCGTCGCACAATCTCGTCACCCAATCCGTCCTAAATTGCCTCTGCACTATGCCCACATACAACGATTCCCCACAGCCGAAAGTCATCATCGTATCGGGCATCGGACTGACGAACTCTTCGCGTGCGTCTCTTCCGTGCCTGGTCAAGCCGGTATATTCGATGCTGGACGTCCCGCACAAAGACAAGATCGGCATGGAGCGTGTTCTCGCGCACTGTGCCGGGTGGGACTGGGACTCCGAGAGCGACGGGGAGCCAACAGCAGACATCATGGGCGAAGGATGGATGGACCGGAAAGGATTGCCTGCCCCCGGAACACTCAAGCACGCTCTTATCATCCGGCCTGCGCTTTTGACGGACGGTGAATGTGTGGCGGATAAAGTTCAAGCC